GGATACAGAGCAAACTGGATTGAGGAGCCTCTAGAGAAGGAAGGAATAAAGGCTTTCTCTCTGTATCCTTTTGGTTTTCTTCTCTTGAGATGGCCTCTCTGTTGACTTGAAAGGGTTGTAAAGATTGAGGATCTCCCAGAAGTAAAGAGGCTGGATTTGGTGGTTGGCGTGAGGGGATCTTGATCTTGAGGTTTGAATACTGCACAAGAAGCAGTTGGAGTAATGACATAAAGTTGAGAGGAATTGATTTCTAGAGAGAGACTCATAGTGGGATCAAGAGGCTTCTATCTTCAGCCTTCAGGTATCAATTTACCTTCTTTATACAGAACATATTCATTGGAAAAAAATTGGTACATAAAAGAGTTTTTGTTACTATTGATTAAGTGAAATTTTGGTAAATAATCTCAATTTTCGAGGCATCGGTCCAAAAACAAAACCTTGTTTTTATTATTTATTACTATAAATAAATTGAATTTTTGGTATCGTTTGCTGGGTATATTTACAAAATGAGTGATATGGACAAATATATACATTTGACAAATTTAGATAATGCAAACATTTACTTTTTTTTATGGTTAATAAAAAATTGCATTAAGCTCAAGCATCTCATAGGAGGGAAAACCCCCTATTAAAGCCTCTCAAACAATACAAACCGTTCATGTAAAGCCCTATACATATAACTATCTATCCAGTCCAAGTACACGAAGACTCTTTTGTAACTTCATATCTACCTCAGCTCTCCAAGAAAGAAGCCTACAAACTTCTCGGCACAAAACTGCAGGGGCACGCGCTGCTGCCTCCCCGTAAACCCGCAAACATCGTTCTCGCCAAACAAGACATACAGCAAGGCATACAATAGTTGCAAATGTTCTTCCCTCCCATTTACTTGCACACCATCCCACCACTTCCTCCCATGTTTGAATGCAAACATTTACAAAATGTGTTGTTTGTAAAAAGTTTTAAAATGTGTTATTTTTGAAGAGTCATTTGTATAATATTAACATTTGTCATTACATGTAATATGTTTTATTTTCTTGTTTGTTATCCTAACAAAACAAACCACGTAAAAAATCTTTTGGTAGCCAACAATTAACATATTATTTGGATATTATTCATATATAATAATACTACTTTTTATTTTTGAATGATAATTTTATGATAAATTCCTTTAGAGATTGTAACAGTTCCAAAGTATATCATTTTACAACCAAACATAATCTATGTTTTAAATTGGTCTCCAAAATAGTAACGACTATTTGAGTAGAAATAATTGAAAACTTCTAAAGAAATATATTTGGAAAGTATTTAAAAAATAGTTGGAAATTATTAGTTTTATAAAGAACAATTAGAAAAGAGTTAATATTGGATATATAAAAAAGGTTAGTGTTAGGATTGACAGGCAGGGACAAAAAATATTTGAAAACATATAAGGTAGAACGTTTTGAAAATATTTTTAGCTCTTGACTTCTACCATCTCTTGACATACCCTTTAAACATTTTTTCCTTTTCACAAACATCTTTTTTCAATTTTTTTTCTTTTCACTATTTTTTTATTTTTCTTGTATAGAGAGTTTGACTAAAGCATTAGACCAAATTAGTTGAGCAAGAGCAATATATGTATCTCTACTATCATTAGAGTACTTCTTTTAACTCTTATATCTCAATTCATGTGGAGGTCCAATAAAATTAAGAGTGTTAGAAGTTTTATATGTGCCCTTAAAATACATTCTCAAGTTGGCTATCAATTCAAAGTGAGTTAAAAGAAGTATTATGGCGATAGCAGAGATACCAAACTTGCTCTCGCTAAACTAATAAGGGACTAATGAAATTAAGAAAAATTGGATGCTTTTATCCGTGCCCTTAAATATGCATCCTCAAGTTGGCTATCAATTCAATGGATGGAACTTTTGACATGTACAGGAGAGGAACTACTTTGAACAGGGTTATTGAGAAACCACTATTATATAAGAAAACTTGATTTTGTGCAATGAAAAGATGCCTCACACTTTGCGCTCACCCCACTGTTGACTCCAACTGTTGTCAACCTCTCAACTCCAAAGATGTAAGTTGGTTGTCCAAAAATCTATCCATGAGTCTCCATGGTATCCCAGAGAGCAAATCCAAACTCCACCCTATGATCATTACTGTAGTGGGCAATGGTCCGAACATAGCCTCCTCGTGGAAGTACTCGATGGGAAGAGATGGTTGTGGACCTATTGAGGTACTCCACAATTATCTATGCTGGGTGAAGGCATGAATCATGCACAAGTGCATGTACATGACAATGTATCATGTCACTAGTGGAGACCTTGCCTTCACAGCCTCTATGCCTCATGCGAAAACTAGTTCGACCATCCTTAAGCCTCTATGCCTCATGTGAAAACTAGTCCGACCATCCTTACGATCTTACCTATGCCTTCGTCGCCTCTATGCTTCGAGTTTTTGGAAAAATACGTGCATGTGTGTATCCTTTTTATAATATCATATATGTTATATTCTTCTTTTATGAACAACGTGATTAATATTTTTGATTATTGTGGGTAATTATGGACAGACTTGAGAGCAATGGAATGGCAAAAACGTGGCCTCCCTCATGCACACCTGCTCCTATTTCTCGCGCCTGAGAATAAGTTTCATGGACCTGCTGACATTGATTCTATAATTTGTGCTAAAATTCCAAACCCTTATTCTTGATCCTGAACTGTATGCAATAGTGACAAATTCAATTATGCATGGACCATGCGGTGTTTTACGTCCCAATAATTCATGCATGAAGAATGGTAAATGTACTAAACATTATCTAAAGAAATTTTGCAACCAGACTATACTCGATGACAATGGTTTTGCCAAATATCGTCATCGCAATATTGGTAAGACATTCAATTGCGGAGGTGTGAAACTCAACAATCGATGGGTTGTACTCTATAATCGATATTTGCTACTATGGTTTGGAGCTCATATCAAAGCTGAGTTTTGTAATAAAACAAGGTTGGTGATTATTTCGTATCTTTCTAATACCTTTTATAATTTACACTTTTTTTTACTTACAATATATGTATACATTCATATATGGTATTCACTCATTTAGAATATGCCAATTTTGTCCATCTCTAACATTGTTACTCATGTTCCTAGGATATAGCTTGGAAATTAAATGTTTATTATTAAATATATGATCTTTCGCATACACACATAATGTATAGATTGCCTACTATATGTTTATGTATTTATAAGGCTATCAAATATTTATTTAAGTATATCAACAAATGTGAGGATCATGCAATGACAACATTGGCTGCACAAGAAAAAACATTTGTACTTGACAGTGGCTCTTCTTCAAACACAATTATCAAAATAGATGAAATTAAAGCATTCATGGATGCTCGGTATATTACTTCTGGCGAAGCGTATTTGCGAATCTTTATATTTGATATTTACAATCAGTTTTCCCCGGTGTTTCATATGTCATCTTATTTGCCTGTAGAGAATATAATGTATTTCAATCCCAAATCTCGTGTGCAAGATGTAATTGAATCTAATGGGAAAACAATTTGTTGGCCTGGGTGGATTTTAATGTTAAGTGAAGTGAAGCTCACAAATACACTTTTGCAGAACTTCCTCAATATTATGTATGGAAATAAAAGGAAAAAACAGTAGATGAAGCGTAAGAAAGGAATGTGTAAGATTATATTATTTCCACCCATATGCAAAAGACAGGTACTACTTGCGTATGTTATTGCATGTTGTGAAGGGTTCCTCCACTATGAGGATATTAGAACTGTGAATGGTGTTATCCATTCAACATTTAAGAAAGCATATTATGAACGAGATTTGCTAACGGCTGATTCTAAATGAAATGATTCTTTGAAAGAAGTTTCCTTTTGGACAAGAGGGTATAAACTTCGAAAACTCTTTGAAAATATTCTTATTCATTGTCAAGTGGCTGATGTCCAATCAGTTTGGGATAATAACTGGATACTACTTAGCCATGCCATATTGTACTCCAGAAGAAAACAACCTAACCTACCACAAATCAACTTGACTGATGATCACTGTTGTCAGAACCAAATCGCCGTATGAACCGGTATAGTGAACGGTTTGAACTTTCGTGGTTTAAAGGGTATTAAGCCATTATAAAACTGTTAATGCACCGATATCTAATAAACAAGAATATTATACACTACACACATTTTAAAACACTAAATCATGAGTACATTATTCATAAAATAATTTAAAATATAATTACTAAATTAAAAGTACTACCTTTAAAGTACAAACCTAAATCTTTAATTTAATTATCCATGACATAATAGAAAAAAATATAAATATAATTAACTGTAACACGTAAAAAGCGTGTGTACTAGATATGGAAAGTTGAAAAGTGGAGGCCACACTCGCATCTCCCCTCTCTCTCTCTATCAAACCCTAAGCGGCAGCGCCACACTCGCCTCTCTTATGTCTATCAACTTTTAATTTCTCCCTCTCTGTTATTGATGAACAACACCATTATTCACCTTATGCTTCTCTTTCGGTTCTTGGGATTCTTCTAATCCTTCGACAGAAATGATCGTTCCCCTCCATCCCTCTTTCTCTTTCGTCTTCCTCGAGCTTTCGATCTTTCTTTCTCTTACTCGATCTGACTTCTTCTCACTTTCTTCCTTTGTTCTCACTTTCCAGATCAGGGCTTCCGCATACCGTTGTCCATTGACGGGCTTCCTTTCAACAATCTCCCCCTAGGCCAGTCAATGGTCCCTTCTCTCTGCATATGTAGTTCCTGACTTCCTCCACACATCTAAACAAACGATTACGTGCAGTATGTTCTTATACGCTACGAAAAAGTTTAGATGTTTAGAATGACCAGAATAATACAACGAAAGGGGGTTTTATCTAATCATAAAAAAAGTTCAGCAGACTACAACAGACTCAAGTTCTTAAAAAAAAGCAGACACAATTGACTCAAAGACCAGGACATCACCACTGACTTTACCAATCAACGTTCTGCAATAGCACGAACTTTATTTGAATCTGAAGTAATAGACTCAAACACACAAACTACGACCTAGATCTATTCCCCTCAGATCAAATCCCCTTTGTCTTGTATCTAACTTAGAACGGGTGGATGGGAGATGGCATGTAGTCCGATATATCTTCGTCTTTATTGATGTCATCGAGATTCTCGTTGTTAGCCGATTCCTTCATAATGTCTCTTGAGCTTGCACCAACCTCCTTCACTAATGCATGATTTCCTTTGTCATTTACGTCACCAACCAAGACAACAATACTTAGGCATTCTTCTAAAGAAGGAACTACATTGCCAGCCTTATGTCCCCCGAGAGCATCAACTCGAGGGCGACGACGACGGACAGAAGCAAGTAACTTGAGGGGCAAAGGGAAGGTCACCTTTATAATTGTCATCATAATAGGTGATCATATGATCAAACACCAAATGAGGGTAGCTAATAGGAAGATTCTCCTTGGAACTTTCCATAATCCACAGGTTTGTGGGATGAATAGTGGAGAGGCCATAAGATCAAGGAAGAAAGGTCTGAGTGATATAGAAGTGGAGAACTTTGAGATCATCAGGAAGTCTTCCTGAAGAAAGCACATTCGGATAGTATCTTCCAGTATCGCGAGTATACTGGCGAATAGCCTCGAGTTCATTGAATTCCACGCCTTGGAAGTCAGCGAGGCATCCATGAATTCAGCACCATTGATAGGAATTCCCAGCAAAAGAGACAACAACTCCACATTGATCGTGATCAAGTAATTGAACACAATCGTGATGAACGAGGGTGGGATGGTGTTGAAGTACGACTTCATGTTCGCGTAGAACATGTGAACGACTTCAGGATATTGGCCAAAATCCTGATTGACAAGAATATCACTCCACCCAAGAACATTGATAAAGGCAGGAACATTCATGTCATACCTATTGAAGCATGAAGGATCGATATAGACAGAAGGACAGAGATCACGATCCTGATACTTGAGAAGGTATCGAGAGTAGTCCTCAGCATTTCCAAAACATTTTTCATTGAAGATGGCAACTTAAGCAAGCTCAAGAGCCACATGAGGGTTAATTGCCGCCATCAAACAGAAGAGAGCAGATGAAAGATCGATTTTTGGAGAATAGATGAGTGATATGCCGAGAGAGGTATGACCAGGATTTTATAGATAAGAGAAGTAAGGATCAAGTTATGAGGAATAAGGAAGGTTAGGGTAATTTATGGAAGAGAATCAAAGGAGAATGGATATCGGAAGTTAGAAGGATTTAAGGAATGGAAAGATGTGAAGATGTCGTGTTGCTCAAGAGTAGGGAGGCAAAGAGAGGATCATTCCTTTACTAGAGGTTTTCTACATCAGTCCAAGAAAACATTCCTGATTCTCGACGAATGATCGAAAAGAGTTCAGATCCTAGAGGTTTTGTAAAAAATGTCGCCCATTGGTATGAGGTAGGCATAAATTCAACAATAATTTGCCCTTCTTCTACTATATTCCTAAGGAAATGATATCGAATATAAATGTGTTTGGTACGTGATAAGCCGTTAATTGCACATGTTTTTACCCCTATTCATGAGCCGTTTGAGATGGTACTTCTCGTGTTTTAGGCCGATTTCACGCTAGGTTGTGTTTGTTTGTGATATTTCAGGTCCTAGCAAGTGAATGAAGGTTTAGGAGCGAGTTCGGGGTCGATTGGACGAAGATCGGGCGCGAGGCAAGTCAAAAAGGAAGCCACACGGGCACACCCACAACTCACACGGCCGTGCAAGTAACCACTTTGGCCGTGTGAGATTGTGCGAGCCTTCACACGGCCAGCCCTGATATTCACACGGCCGTGTGAAGGAGTGATTTGGCCGTGTGGAATTTTGCGAGGCTTCACACGGCCAGGCAGGGTGAGTTACACGGCCGTGTGACCCTGGCCGTGTAGGAAGCCTGAAGTGCAATTAATTGGAACGCGGCGTTTTGAACTCACACGGGCAACTGGGTATGCCACACGGCCGTGTGGGCCTGCCCGTGTGAGTCGGGAATTTCTGGTTTTTACCCAATTTCGGGCTGAAAGTGAGGGAATCGAGTTTTGAGAGAAAAAACAGAGCTCTAGAGAGAGAAAGTACGAAGAACACATCCTAGAAGCTATCTTGGAGCTGGGTTTCATCAAATCAAGCTTGGAGATCGTCATAGGAGTGGAAATCATCATCCCAGAGCAGATTTCCTCATCTTTATGGGTATGACTACTCTGTATTCTGTTTTCCTCTCTCTCTCTACGGAGTAGAACCCTTCTCTCACTTGGGTATGAAGAACCCTAGTTCTATGTGTTAGGGATTTGATTGTAATGACTTGGGATGATATTACTGTTTGGTTTTAATCGAATGATGCATGTTTATTGAGTCAATTGAAGTCTGATAAGCTTTTCCTGATTTCTGCTGCAACCTGAGATAGATAGAATCTGATTAGGTTGTTAGAGCCTCATCACTCGGTAGTAGGAGATTGGCTATACGAGAGTTAGCCAGTTTACTGCTTTGTACTGGAATTCAATTCCAGTAGTGGAGTTCTGTTCTTAATGCTTCAGCTTTCTATCCCGGTGAAGACTAGTCGTCTGCCGGGTAGTTAGTCTGAGAGGGCTTGGTCAGCTTAAGAGATTCCAAGCTACTGTCGGATCTTCCGCAGTCTAATCAACAGTAAATCAACCTAGGGAAATTACAATTGAAACCTAACTAAGGAGATAGGGGGACTCATTCCCGAGTGACTCTTCTTTTCTTGAGAAAACCGTACCAATTCCTGCTTTCTTTCTACTTTTGCTTTAAACAACAATCACTCGACTTAGTTGGCTAGATAATTGATAATCACTGAGTAAGCAGTAGATCTAGACCTCGGGTTGATAATATAACTTGCCACTTTACTGCATTCCCGGTCTGCGATTACACTTGGTCGCAAATTGGTGTTGTGTTTTGGCGTGTCAAGTTTTTGGGGCCGTTGCCGGGGACCCTCTAGGTTATTGGGGAAACGTGCAAATCTGTTACTCTAGCTTTTTCTTTACTGCATTTTCTCTCTTCCACCTGTGTGCCTTCACGGGTTGCTTCTGCTGATTGTGTGCAGGTAGTGCATGACCCGTTGCCAGTCGGGAGATCTACTACCACTAGACCAGGAGCTTGAACGAACCTGCAGAAACTTCAAGCGGGCTCTAAAGGCGCGACTGGCTGCGAAGGAGGCGCTAGCACAGCTACAGATCACTGACGAAGAGGAGATGGCTGATCCACAGGACCATGATGTGGTCAATCCTGGGGAGCAGACCATGGGACATTACTGGACCGCTAGGGCTGCAGACATGAGGTCACCCATTCAACACCCTCATGTCCCAGCCAATAATTTTGAGGTGAGCACCTCCGTAATCACCATGATGCGCGGTTCAGTGATGTTCCGAGGCAAAGAGGGGGAGTGCCCTCGATCACATCTCAGGAGATTCCACGAGCTCATTGATGGAATCAAGATCAATGGGGTCCCAGCAGATGCCATCCAGTTGAGGTACTTCCCATTCACCCTGGAGGGACAGGCCAAGGAGTGGCTAGACACTCGACCTCCGGGCTCCATCACCACGTTCGCCAACCTGGCGGACAAGTTCCTTACTCGCTACCATCCTCCGTCGAAGACGGCGAACTTGCAGAAGCAGATTACCCACTTCACCCAGGATGAAGATGAAACCATCCGGGATGCTTGGGAGAGATACAACAGTCTCTTCCTGAGGTGTCCCAATCATGGTTTCAACGATGCTTTCAAGGTGGGAACCTTCTATCATGCCCTCTTCCCAGAAGACAAGCAGCTGATTGACTCAGTTTGTGGCGGGAACAACCTGACCAAAACACCGCCACAGCTGAATCAACTCTTTGAGGAGATGGCAGAGAACGGGTATGATTGGGGCACTGCTAGGAGGTCGAGGAGAGCACCAAGCCGAGGTGTACATTCTGTGGGAAACCATTCCTCTGATTTGGTGCAGGTGGTATCGAAGCTGGTTTCAGCTATCGATCGTTCCGAGATGATTGCAGGTGCCGGACAGCAGCAGGCGATGCATTGCCATTGGTGCGAGAGCACCCATCACACGGTGGAAGACTGCCAGGCGATGAAGGAATCGACCACACCCCAGGAGTAGGTGAACTTCATCAATAATGTCAGGCGTAATGACCCCTACCGTAACACCTACAATGAGGGGTGGCGCCAGCATCCCAACTTCTCCTGGAGTGGGGAAAATTCCAGACCACCAGTCCACCAGGGACCACCGGGCTTCTAGAGGCCGCCATATCAGCCCAGACAGGGGCAATTCCAGCAGCAGCAGCAGTCTCTCTACCAGCCCATGCAGGGGCAGGCTGCTCAATCACAGCCGCGACCTTTCCAGCAGCCAGGTGCAGCCCCCGCCACCTGAGTGCAAAATGATCCGATGGATGAACTGCGGGACTTGGTGGGTTCTCTCGCCAGTTCTAGTGCTCAGAAATTTAACACTATCGAGCAGTTCATGGAAAAGACCTCGGGTAAATTCCTGGCTCTTGAAGCTGGCCAGAGGAATACACAGGCTGTCTTGCAGGATTTCCAAACCCAGCTGGGGAGTGTGGCTCAAGCACTGGCGCAAAGGGCTCCTGGTACTCTACCCGGTCAGACCATCCCTCATCCGCAGAACCCGAATGAACACTGCGGAGCCATTACTACCAGGAGTGGCAAGGTGACTACCGATCCACCTGTTCGGGCAGAAGAGAGAGAGACCCCAGCTTCAGCACTTCCAGCTAATGAAGATGAAATGGAGAAGGAGGCTGAGGTGCCAGCTCCTAAACCGCAACCAGTGGTGAAGGAGTATGTACCCCAGCTCCCCTTTCCTACTCGGTTGCACAAGGACTGACTGGAGACTGAGTTTGCCAAGTTCATGGCAATGCTGAAGCAGGTGAATATAAGCATGCCCTTCGTGGAGGCATTATCGAAGATGCCCAAGTATGCCAAGTTCATGAAAGATCTCCTCACCAACAAGAGGAAGCTTGGGGAGCTGTCAACGGTGATGCTCAACGAGGAGTGTTCTGCCATCCTGCAGAACAAACTACCAGAGAAGCGGAAAGACCCAGGGAGTTTCACTATCCCCTGCATGATTGGTAGTTTGCATATAGGGAAGTCCTTGGCGGATTTAGGCTCTAGCATAAATGTCATGCCATATAAACTGTTTAATAAGCTAGGTCTAGGTGAACCTAGTAATACTAGGATGAGCATTCAACTTGCTGATAGATCCATTGTGCATCCTAGGGGCATTGTAGAGGACTTGATAGTCGCAGTAGGGCCATTCTATTATCCTGTTGATTTTGTGATTTTGGACATAAATGAGGATGTGGATGTGCCATTGATATTGGGTAGACCTTTTCTCGCCACCGCCAAGGCGCTCATTGATGTGAATGATGGAAAACTGATTTTGCGAGCTGGGGGTGAACAAATCACCTTCTCTGTTTATGATAATATGAAACACCCCCAGCTCCATGATGATCTAGATTACCGTGATGTTGTTGCTGATTTTGAGACCGCACTCGCCATCACGAGTGCGGGTACTGATGATTTCCTTGAGCGTTGTCTTTTGCTAGGGGAACAGGCATCACAGGACATGCAGCTGGAGGAGCAGCTCGCGGAGCTAGACGATGCCATGATCGAGGGGCGAGAGATACCATTCAAGCCGATCCCTATCTCGCCCCGGATCGCTACATCATTGGAGGAGCCACCAGAGCTGGAGCTTAAGCCCCTCCCCTCTCACCTGGAGTATGCATTTCTCCGAGAGGGGAATAAGCTCCCGGTCATTATTAGCTCGGATCTGACACCTGAGCAGAAGAGCAGGCTTGTGGCTTTGCTGCAGAAGTATGCCCGGGCCATGGCATGGAAGATCACAGACATCAGAGGCATTAGCCCATCCTTATGCTCCCACAGAATTCTGATGGAGGATGAGGTTAAGCCAGTCAGGCAGCCGCAGAGGAGATTGTCTCCTAACTTGGAGGCAGTGGTCCGAGCAGAGATTGTGAAGCTCATGGATGCAGGGATCATCTTTTCTATATCTGATAGCAAGTGGGTCAGCCCCACTCAGGTGGTCCCGAAGAAAGGTGGGATGACTGTGCTCCTGAATGAGAAGA